CCATGGTTCCCTCTGACTGCGAAGCTGGAGGGCAGTGGAGAATGCTCCCATCAGCATCCAAAGTACCTGCTCTTGTGCTGTATTGTTTTGTGTTCTCTGTTGTTCTAGAGAAAGCTTTCACATGGTATGCTACAGGATTTAATGCTGGTCCTCTTTTACCTCATATGTATATAGGTAATTTGTTCCAGTATACTGGAACACAGTATTAAAATTTGGTAATGACACAAAAGTAGAGAATTTATAAATGAGCTTGATGTCAGAACGGCACAAGACAGTTAAGGAAAGTGAATAAACAGTGTCACATTTAACTTCATGCAAAAGGCATGAGGGAAAATGCAATGGTAAAAAGAGCAAGCAATGATATGATGAATCAGGAACGAAAACAGAAATTGCTGGAAAAGCTCAGCAGGTCTGGCAATATCTGTGAAGAAAAAAATCAGAGTTAACGTTTCAGGTCCAGTGACCCTTCCTCACCAGACCCAAAACATTAACTCCGATTTTTTTTCTTCACAGATGCTGCCAGACCTGACAATCTTTTCTAGCAATTTCTGTTTTTGCTCCTGATTTACAGGAACTGCAGATGTTTCGGTTTTTATTTGATCAGATTAATCTGTTGGGAAGACAAGAAAAAGATGTATATTAACAGAGACATAGAAAGGGAAACATAAAAGTCACTGTAGTTTTCAAATGGTGATAAAGCAATAACAAAAAGGTCATTATAATTTTGGTTTTACGCATAAGGACATTGAATACAAGGTAAAGAAATAACAAATTTATATGAAACATTGGCCAGGCAACAGTCAGAGTACTGTTTTCTGTTTTTAGAACCCATTATAGAAAGAACAATATAGTCATAGAGAGCACACCACATAGGTCTCAACAAATTACAAGGTAGTTGGGAAACTGTAATTTTGGAAGGACACTTCCTTGACACATCAAGACAATACATAGTGGCAATTTAAAACGGTTAATAACTGAGGATAGGAGAAGTGTCTGATGTGGAATCCTTGTTCACAGGCAGTAGATGAATCAAAGACTTTTGCTCAGTTTTCCTTAAAAAAATGCAATGTCTGAATGTGAGGACAATATGAAAACATGTGAAGAGACCAAAAGTGAAGATTAGGTTTGGAGACCAGCAAGACCAGCAGAAACCAATTTATTCCCAAGTGTCATAATTTTCTCTGGTATGAACAATCCAGCTGACATTGGAATAGAGTTTTCCCATTAATACTATCCAATCACTTTCTAAACCAACAAGACTTAGAAATTTTAGTTCCAGCACTTAGAACTTGCTGTCTATTGCATATTTCATATCAGAATAATTTAATTGCATTGTACCTATAATAAACCTCCTCAGGAGTTTATCAAATTCAACTAGAATATTTTACCAGCAGATTCAAAAGGAAAACCAGTTTAACAGCTCAACATGGGCTATACTATGCAGGAACAACATTTCAGAAGAACTGCTGGTGTCACAGATGACCAGTAAAATAAAAAAAACCTACTCCATCTTCCCAAAAGCTTCAGATGATTTCGCTGAGAAACAGATGGTTTAGAGATGCAAGGCAATTAAATATTAATTACTGCAAATAGAAATGACATAACTCACAGAATATATTTTGATTTTGCTTTATTGGAATTGGAAAATAGAGTGGTTAAAAATTACAAGCAGCTGTGTTTGTATTAATAGTAAAGAGGAAAAAATCCTTCTATATTTAACTATGTATGAATGTTGTCATTTCTAGCTAATAGTGTTTTATTTAAACATATTGCATATGAGTACTTAGTTTTGTAATTTTGCGCTGATATAAAAAAAATCTGAGAAAGTGGTGTTTCTATTAATTATATTTATGTAAAAAGAATCCCACCCACCACCCAACCATTCTACATAAGGCTTTAGGATAATGTGTTCTACAATCATTTTCTACAATACTGCAGCAGTTGTTATTTTACAGCAGAAGCGATTTACAACATATCAAAGTATTATACATTAAGTATGTAATTCATGATTTGTTTTATTCGGCTGTTTTCATAAATCAAATTTTCACTTTTACAACAAAATGGCACATTCAAGTATATTTAACAGAAGATTGGTAACTGTAATTGTAAACACCAGCTTTGATTTTGGAACAATTTTATAGCAACACCTTACATTATCAACTTTCTCCAGATTGCAAGTCATCAACTGACAATTTCTAACTCTCTCACAATACAACGGCAGAAATACTATTATTTGATCATTTCCATGTCCTGTACAAGTGCAATAAAAATCTAATCCCTTTGAACTTTTCACATGTCACAATTCTAAATAACAGCCATCATTGCTTACAGTTCATTGCTACAAAACACAATCTTTATAAGGATTCCTATTATGAACTTCAAATGAATTCCCACATCTATTCCTCTGCTTATCCACAGAAAGAAGTAGGTTTTCAAATACTTATTTTTCCTTTAACAACTCTCAACAAAGCACAGTTATACCCCAAATTTCAACAGAACGCCCAGATCTTGTTCCTCCCTCGAAGGTTTGCAACGTTGAAATTGAGACTGTACTTTTTCCACTTCAATTTATTCTTTCCTAGGACCAAAATTGTGTAACTTAACTCCTGCAAAATTTCCGTCCTCCTACAATCTTCAAGCTTTTAAGGCTAAAGTTTGCCTTAAGTTAATTGTGCTTACTGATTTATCTCATCATCTTTCATTCTCTTCAAACTTGGTATCGTGCATATGAGTTTTGCCACTCCCCGACCCCCATTTGCATCCAAAATTCAATTTCCCCAGTATAATGTGGCACTCTATATCAAATGCTATCTCGGTAATCATGTAATTCCTACCGCATTTCATTTCCTTTCTGTCAATATCAATATTGGCATGCAACAACAGTCAGGAAGCAAGGTAACATGATGTCTTCCAAGTAGAAGAGGATGTCGAGATACTACGGGATTAGTTTAGGAGAAAATTACTTTAGGAATGAAACATTCCCCAACTTTGTGGTGGTGGTTAATTCATAAAACCAATAAACTATTCCTGAGCTAGAAGTTAAGCTTAACTAATTATTCCCAAATTATGGACCTTTCATAGGAGAATAGAATGGGAAATGGGAAAAAAATTACTCAGATTTTCCAGAATCTAGACGAGGTATGGTTTCGTGGAATAATAAAGATAATGGTGGATTTCAAGGACCAGTCTCTTCAGCTGGAAGACTGTTAGAACCTGCTAGAAATATCACAAGACATTGTTTGTACCATATGTCTACTGTTTCTAGGATTTTCTGGCCAGCCTGTTAAGCAAAGCCTCCCCTCTACCCACCCTCCATTATATTGATGGTTGCTCTTCATTTAAGGAGTTCCTGTTTGCCTTGACATACAAAGTGTACTGGAAGCTAGTAAGCAATTTACACCTCAATTATCAAGTTTGCAGGGAACAAAAGAGGAGTTAAATTGGTAAGCATAATTAATTTAAGATAAATTTTGGCTTTAAAAACTTGAAGACTGTAGGAGGAAGGAAATGTTGCAGGAATTGAGTTAAGTAATATTTTCGTCCTGGGAATAAATAAACAAGGTGCACTGCACTCCACACGGGTGGAAGGAGACCTCTCTGAGGTGAAAGTAAATGGGCCAGATACTAAACAGGAAATGGCAGTGGTGGTTAAGCAATTATGAAGGATAGTAGAGAAAGTTGTGAAGGAGAGAGAATTTGGGCACCTGGGTGTAAGAGCAAAAAGAACAGAGTAAGAGTGTGCCAGAGGGACAGCAAGAGCAAGAATTTGCTGCAATCATAGAATCTGTACAGTGCAGAAATAGGCCATTCAGCCCACTGAGTCTGCACCGACCCTCTGAAGGGCATTCCACCTATACCCATAACTGTGTGTTTACCATAGCTAATCCACTTTACCTGCACATCCCTAGACACCATCGGCTCTTTAGCCCACCTCTTACCTACCCACCAACAGATAAAGAGGGAGAAAAGAGAGAGAGAGAGAGAGAGAGAGAGAGAGAAAGAATGACTCTCTGACTTGGTAGTGGGCCTTCTTAAAAAAAAAACACATACTGATACACTATCTAATTAAGTGATCATTTGATTTTATCTGGGTCATAACTAGTTTGAAAAAGATGTATCTCATAGAAAGAGCTATCAACCTAAATCTTGAATTGAAACAATTTAAGAGGAAATTACTACATTTCACTAGTTATTTCCTGTCCAGTAAATAAAAGGTTACATTAAAAACTAAGGAATGAATCGTGCAAGTTAAGAATTGTGCAAACAATTTAGTAAAATAAAAAGTGTCCTCAAAACATTTCCATAAGCAACCATAATTGTTTCTTGTGTAAGACATTACAAGTAGCAGATGAGCAAATTACACAATGCATTACTTTTTTAACCACATAATAGTACTTGTTTGGCCAAGTTCCTTTCCCTTCACTAGACAGCATGTTAATTTAACGTGCAGGAAGAGCAGGTCAGCCACTTAGTAATATTAAACAATTTAAGATGACCTAACCCTACCCATAGTACTGCAAGAATTTCCTTTCTGCTCAGGTCTGCAACCTGCTTAAATAGTAAAAACAGTTAACAATCAGGGAGGTCTCAGTCAATCATGAGAGCTTGCATGTCAGAAACATATTGCACAATTCTGGGTATGGATATGGCATTAAGGAGGGTCAAACAAGCAATTATAATTATGTAAAATTCTGAATTAATAAGGCCTTGGAGAAAAAGCCATTATCAGAAACAGGAAAAATTAAGTCTCTGTTCATGTTCACATACTACACGAATCTTTCCATTTCACTTAAAATCGTGTACATTCATTGCTAAACAGCTCGTTGCATTCTCAAAACTGGATTTGTGATTGTGTTGAAACAGACTGGTGGCCCTAAATGGCACAGAAATCCATTTTCTCAAGTGGCGAAAGCTAGCATTATTATACAAAGTCTTATCGGAAATGAGGAAATCTTCCAGTCATAATAGCATACTATTAATAAAAGGTCAATAATACTCACCACATAAGTGGAATTACTATCCAAAACTCCTAAAGTTCACATGGCTGATAACCCTAAAGGAACAAATTAGACACTGCATTACAAAAAAGGCTACTGAATAGAGAGTTATATACATACACAACTGTCAATGAAAGTCAGGGCCCTTCACTGTCAATGGTGAAGAAATATATTCCTATCTTTAGTAAGATACTTTGCATGAATCTAATAGACAAATATAAAAACATTCGCATCTTGACATTTAAATTTTTTTTTACACTTAATGTGACTGACCAGAAGAAGCATTCTTGACCTTGGTTGCATTGAAGTACACAACTGAAAGGATCCAATGAAGGACTTTCGCCCAAGATCTAAAAATGTTCAGAAGCTTAAAATGTTTATTAATTCAGATAAGCTAATAACAATCTGTATTGGATACATGTTTTTGTCCTTCATCTATCACACCTTAACTTTTTCCTTCAGGTGTAATTGCCCTTTCCTTCCTCCGCTCATCATCATTTAATCTTGTTACTGGTTATTATGACAACAACTTGGGTAACTGGGCCTTTACGTTCTAAAATCTTCAAAGCTGACTTGCTGTACATTGTATAGTTAGGTGGACGTTAAATTAATGTTCACCTCTATGATATTACAACTACTTAAATTCAGCATACTACAAGCAAATGTAATTTTCTTAAATGTTGAAAACCATTTATGAATGACATATTCTATGCAGAATAAATTGAAACATAAACTTACATGATTTCCATAGGTGTTTGATATTTAAAATACTTATAAAAATAGATTTTCAAGTCTTAAATACACTTGATTAAAACTCATACTTAAAAAGCTAACCCTTTCACCAACCCAACATAATTCATAAACAAAAACAGAAATTGCTTGAAAAAGCTCAGCAGGTCACCAGCATCTGTGGAGAGAAAGTAGTTAACAAATCAGGTCCAGTGACCCTTTTTCAGAGGATTCTAAAGTTCTGAAGGGTCACTGAACCATACCTGCTGAGTTTTTGCAGCAATTTGTTTTTGTTTCTGATTTCCAGCATGTCCGCAGTACTTTCACTTTTCTTTCTAATGTAATTCATAGCTAACTTCTTAGTTACCTCAGTCGAACAAATATCAATGACTCTTATTTGTTATGCCCAATTGTCAGCCAGGTTTTATTTAGAGAATTCAAGCATTTTTGCAGAAACAAGATGAGAAATTCTGCACATCTATTAAAAGTGACCTCATTTAAAATCAAGCAAAATAACTTACTAATTTATGAAAAGAGTAAGGTGTTTAAATTTTGCATTATCACAGAAAGATATGTTGTGCTGACTGGTTAGTTTAGCCCAATCGTAACACTGTTTGACATGCACTATTTACTGACATTAAAAAAGCAGTTCATTAGTTCATATTTTTGAGTTAGTACAATGTAAGGGGATGCAAGAATTTTAGACACCTGGGTGTTAACATACATAATGTTACTTTGCCACACAACTAAAATTATTTATACAAGAGAAAGTATAATGAAATGACACAGACTCGTCAGCAATTAGAGGTCATTAGGTAGATAAGAGATAGAAGGAAAAATACTAATTCTGTACCATACCGCATCTTAAGAGTGGAGAAAGCCCAAGATTTGATGGCGGTGTCAAAGTCATGAAAGGTTTTGATACAGTATATAATCAGAAATTGTTTCCAGTATCAGAAAGATTCATTAACTAAAGGAGAAAGAGTTAAGGAAATTGGACAAAGAAACAAAAGTTTCAACAGAATGAGGGAAGGAGATTTAAAAGGGAATTGTATAAATACTTCATTTGGAGGTCTGTGGGAAAACAGTTAGTAAATGGAACTACTTGGAAAGTTTAATCAAAGAGCCAGCACACATAATTGGACAAATGGCCTTCTTTTCTGCTATATCATTCTTTGAACTATGATTGCATGCATCGAGCCTCATTCGTGCATTTGTTGTGTCATCCGAGGAAATACATTTCAAAAGATGTGGACATCAAATTCAAATTATTGGTGGGAGCAGCATTTAAACTTCCTTCCCTCAAATTAAATAAGCAAGCACATAAAAGAAAGGTGCAAATCAAATCTCTTAAGATAAAGTTAGTCAGCGCTCTTACATAACAGACTAATGGCACAGAACCAAAAGGAACTATGACCAAACAAATTTATAACAGTAGCTCACAATTCATAGTTTAAAAAGCAATCAAAAAAGTCCAATTAACTGATTAACAGAAACAAACAGCAGAGAACTACTCATAGTAAACATAGATGACGGTGAATAAACTAATAGAGAGTGACTTAACTTCTGGTATTACTTTCCTCTTTAACAGTAAATCAGATTAACATTTACAACAGTGGGAACAGAGCTGTTAATTTACTTTGGTGTCACTCAGATGCTTAGGCATTAAAGAGAATTGAATTCGCTCCATAACTTAATAAATAACTTAAAGCTGCTTCACACTCTTCTTTGAGCCCTCATTTGTATCTGTGTAGGTTTGAAAAGATTCAGTCCATCAATATTCCTTCCTACATTCAAACATATTCAAACATAGCTCAATGATCTATACAAAATTAAAATAACCTGTTTCAATTCCATTTAAAGACTTGCCGAAATTTAATTATTTTTGCCAATAAGGGATTTGTATGCACAATTTATTTTTGAATATTGACAATTCAAAAAGGCTTTCCTTGTTTTTGGTCAGCCTTCATCCCCACTAAATCCCAACAATTCAAAATGAATTACTATGTTAAGGCATGAATGAGGGAAGGAGATTTAAAAGGGAATTGTATAAATACTTCATTTGGAGGTCTGTGGGAAAACAGTTAGGGAGACCAAAGAAATCTCTGGTGGACTTTTCCCAGAACATGGTAAAATTCAGTTAGCCTGTCAGTCAGCTGTTCATTCATAATTCTATGATGGACAGGACACCAAGCAAATGTCTCCAACTAACCGTCCATATTTCAAGTTTTTATATGTACTTCAGGTAACTTAATTCTTGTCAATTATTTCATAATGGCATTTTATTTTAAAAAGTAATAGCTTGAACAATTTCAATTTCATTGATCACTTCAATATGCTTTCCTTGTTGGGAAATCCACCATGTTCATGGCAAAGCCCAATCATTAGTACGAAGGTAGTAGCCTATCTTCTGTGCATATCTTAACTGGCTTTTTTGATATATGCAAATGCTCTGAATACTACAAGCAAATATAATTTTCTGCATCATAAGCACATTTCGTAATATCACAAATGCCTTCCTTTAAATAGTTAAATATTTTTCAACTATTAACCCAAAACACTGCTCCTAATTAATGCACAGGCAACAGTTCTGCATTTATAACACGCTTGTGCATTCAGGTGACAAACTTGCTTTCAATTTAGTCAGCTATGAGTTAATTTCACAAATTTTTTAAAGGCAATAACTTATCAAAAGAAATCCTCTTTAAAATGGAACAGAAAAGGTTTTCATTTAAATGTTGGTTACACTGACAATTGGTAAGTGTAGTCTATGGTGTTTGGGAATACATTTAACTTCTGGATCATACACAGTAAAGCAACCCATACACCATGCAATGCCACACTTGACAAATGTGTGGCTATCAAGGTTCTGTGAATCCAAGCTCTAGGGATGTATTCAATTATTGCTGATTCAAATGTGTTCCAATCATTTAATGGCACATTTTATTTGATATATTGAGAAGGCACTGACTGTTACCTATTGCAATACTAGTGGTCAAATAGCTGGATCAAACACCTGTCAACTGAACTGGGCAAATTCAGAAATAAATGCAAATAATACTAAATCATCCCAATTGACATTAGGAAAATAAGTTGAAATATTCAATGCTGTCTTTACCTTCCTGTTTTCAGTGCATCGCTTCAAGACATTATTAATCTAAATACACCCAAATCAAACCCAACTTATGGTATACTTACCAATGCATCCTATAGAATTTATTAAACGCAAGAGTATTTTTCCACTACAAGGCTTATTTCCATTTTTAAGAATATGAATTGCAATTATACTTGTGCTCCCAATATTCATTTTAGCCCAACTTGCTTGTGTTAATAGGAATGTATAAATCAAATTGAAAAAAATTAGAAAAACCTGAGGTTTTACTTCAGGATCCAGTGAGGTGGTCTAGTCCTCAAAGCTATTCCTGCTTTTTAACCATACTGAAGTACTTAGGACGCTCATAAAGACCTTAATTCATACAAAGTTTTGAAATGGGTCAGTCAGTAATTAGCACACATGGCTCTGGCCAAAAAAATAAACTCTCCATTTACTTGTACAGATTGACAGTAAAAGAGCTTGCATCTGTTTAGTGGGTAATTATGCCACACCTTTGTAGCCCCAATTCAGTATGGGTTATATTCAATGCGTTTCAAACAATTCAGAAAATGTAAAAACAACTCTGGTTACTTTCCAAATGCTACACTCTTAAAATATAACTGAAAAGGGCCAGTTCTGCAATTCACTCTTTAATAAATGCAACAATACAGAAACCTTTGCTAAAATATCCCAAAGCATCATTTTTTTAGACCGAGTATAGCATCCAATTTCCAATCATGTAAATTTTGCTCAGCTATTGCTTAGATTTACATCTACAATATTGTCAACATAGGTCTGGTGGTTGAAACAACTCGCAGCACCAATTAGTTTGTTGGCAAATTTTACAAATGTAAATAGTTCAATAAGGGGATTCTCATTGCAAAATATAATGTCAGAAAAGATTTTGAAATTTCTGTTAAAATGCTCTGAAACAGCCTTTAATGCATCTATTTTTAATCATCTTAGAATATGCTTGAAACATGTCCACTAATTTAAAAACAGGCACCTTTTCAGTTATCACAATAACAGGGTGAAATAAAAATGAACAAAAATGCTTTTGAAAGTTTTGCAACTAATAAATCAGGGGACTCAAAAATTCTACTGCATTTTTCTTTTACTTTCAATTTTGCTAAGCTAGAAAGAAAAACTTCTATAATTACCTCTCATATACAGTATTGACCAGCTGACCCATCCTATACCCATGCAGGTGAGTACATGGCAGAATTTGGCTTG